CTGTAGAAGTCTTTTTTATAGATTTATTAAAGACCCATCTTAAATATTTCTTGTAAAGATACAAAGTCAAGGGTAGAGACTGTTGCCTGTGCTTGTTTAGAACTGCTAGTGGGTTCATTTTCCCAGAGAATACAGAAAGGAAGAAAAGAGGCTAAGAAATAGAGTGAGACACCCACAGGTTGTCCAAAGAAGTTGATCCTGTTTAGAAGTCTGCAGTGATCTATTTTGGAGTGTCTCCTTAGACAACTCCATTTCTTACCTTTGGAAAAGCAGCTCCCACAGTTATTCTCATTTTGAGTTTCAAAATTATTGTTCTTTAATTCCTTTAACATCTTGGGCTTTGCTGGTGTTTTAGAGTTGGAAGCCAAAGAATCATATTTACTTTCTGTGAGTTAAACACTGCTCTAGCTGCTTCATATGTATCAATTCATTCAATCCTAGTGTGACCGATAGCATATATGGTTCTCATTCTACATGGGAGGAAACTAAAGCACAGAGAGGCTAAATATCTGATGCATGGTCACATAGCTAGGAAGCTTAGAAGCAGGATTATAAAACACTGGTAACCACTGTGCTAACTGATAAAACGGGTATACACTACACATAGCCCTTAGCTGGTCCCTCCCCAAAGCAGGACAAAATACATATGAAATCTAAGGAACATACTTGTTAAGATGTAAACAACTTTAAGAAAATTGCTTCCATCTAAATCATCCCCATGAGTTTCTCTAAGTAGAAACTTTGGAATTCCCACCACCAATCAAATCAGAATCCTGGCCTAACCTATGTTTACTATCTCAGATGTCTAAATCCAGAAAATACTATACCTGTGACTACTGTTATATTTCAGAAAGTGAATTATTCTTGCAAGTGAATTGTACTATATATTTGTAAGCCCATCTTCCTGAGGTCTCATTCAACTCTATGTTCCTAAGGAACAGCACATTGTCTGGGAGAAAAGTGTTATGAGATGTACCTCTTATACTATATTCAAGTCAAAGGAGCTAATAAGTTTTTAATGTGTGGGAACATGTGAATGGGTTTGTTTTTAACTGCTACAAGTACAAAAGTCAAACTAAAAAAAGATGTAGGCCAAAGCTGCAAGGCAGGAGCACTGGCTGAGTCTCTACTCCCACCATTTTCCCTACTCTTCTCCGGAAGTGGTTGCAACCTGTAATGTTAATGTTTCTTCTGAGAGTGACTCCCTCTGCTGCTCCAGCAAAGCCATGACCCGAATCAGAAAAGTGCTAAATGCAGTTAAGGCCTAATAGAGCATACTCTTGCTATTTGCACTAATTGGAGACACTAGCATACATTAGAGAACAGTTATATTTAAGTCTCAACAATAATTCTAAATAAGCTAACAGGGTTTGCCTAATAGAGCTGATGCCTCCTTCCTATCATTAAGGGTTTGCTAAAACTAGATCAGTATAAATTCTGATTAAAAGCAGTTCCCAAAGTCCAATGGTAGATACTCCAAAGAACCTGTCTTGTTTAAATTCAAATTCTCTATATCCAGAAAACAGAAGACCAGGGCATATGCATGTCTATTATGATCTAATGATTTCTCATTTGTTGAAATGCTTAAAAAGTTTGTTCCCTGAAAACTGTTTAGCACTTTCTAAGCTATAACACATAAAATTATTTTTCTGAACAAAGATAAACTAACATACTTTCTCTTATTGAAAATTTCCAAAGTGAATTCATGAATCTGCCCCTAGAATGGAAAAATATATGGTAGAATTGTAGTGAAACTCAGTTGTTTTCAATGCCAGTTGTCAATTTGTTCTACACCAATATACATAAAAGCATGAAAGTACTCTTTCATTGGAAGAAGTGTAATATTTGTGGGTTTTTAAAAACACCATAAATTAAGATAACAGAGAATTATTCCAATCTGCTTTGAATCTTTAGTAATTTTCAATTCTGAGTTCGGAGGTGTTAACACTCCGAACATAACACTAGTTGGTGCTAGATAAGCAGCACATCAATACTGTGTAGTCTAGATAAAATGCATTTATACAACAGGAGGGCACTAATTCAGAATTACACAAATCAGAAACACTCACACACACACATACACATCCATACTTTCACTCACTGGGCTGCCTTTACTAGTAAAATCTTTCATTCTTGGAATCAGAAGCACAGCAAATTCCCTGGAGCTAGGAGTTCCCAGCAATCCTGAATGAAACAATTAGAGCCTAGCAGGAAAGAAGAAAGTTGTTGCCTAAAGCCTAGAGAATTTCCCAAGGACCTGTTTAAAATGACTGCTGTCGGTCTTTAAACCACAGTTACAAACTCAGAATACTCACAAATAACATCCACTCTGTTTTGCTCTGAAAGACCTGTTTTTTCCTTGGCTATCTCCAAAGAGACATATATTTTCCAAAAGCTTCTAATTTTTTTCCAGCACTTCTCCAACAATGGATCAAAAATTTGATGTTGTAAAGTACTTAAATGAACTATTCTATTTTAATTGCACATTCATAAAAATACTCCACTCCAGTCTTTAACTCATAGAACAAGGAAATCATAGCTTGAGGGCATGGGCTGTTCTAATGCAAAATGAGTAGACCTGAGAAATATTGAAGGAAATGGATGTCTGACTGCCAGCCCATTGTAAATATGTGATTCTGAAAGGAAAGTGTTAATGGTGGTTCAACGTTAAATTGGCTGGGATAATAGGTAGCAGTGATGGGGACAGTAGCTTATGGTAGAGTTTGGTGCTTTCTGTTTCCTTTGATACCTAACAGAACACAGGAAGAGCTGATRTCCTGGAACATGGAAAATAACAATCATAAAAGTGGTTGTGGCAGCATTTCACAGGACACATAATTTAAAAAAAAAATCACTGGAAACTGAAAGAATTAAATGAAGTAAACGGAGAAGACTGTGCACAGAAATGTATACACACCACAGAATACACTTTCTTTTTCGAGTTAAGATCAAAATAACTCTTGAATTGCCTGGTTTATAAGAAGAAAAAGTGCAAGAGGAAAACACTCAAGTCTATCTTGAGTGTCTTTTTTTAAATCTCTTCTCCCTTCTTCTTTCAATATCAATCCATTTACTATGTCCTGTTTGATTATCTTTATTGATCCCTTTTCTTCCCAGTCTTTTTAATTGGACTGTTGTAAGCTCTCAGCAGGCATCCTATCTCCTTTTGGCATCTTTGGAGATTTTAACTTATCCTTTCCCCAAATAGTTCTCTCACCRTGTCCCGTGCCTGGCCACCCCCATGGCTCAGTCCTTTGTGCGCCCAATAACAGCAAGAGAATTCCATAGGGAGTCACGCGGTTGATTCCACATCTATTCATCAGGTTGCTCACTTAAGCTTCCAAATACCTTCCTCTAAGTATCCTGGGCTACCGCCCTGAGAACTTCTTACCAATTTCAAGAAATCTATAACAAGAACCATATGATTCCCAATGGAGATTCCATGGTAAAATAGATAGATGAGCTCTGGAGGTATGCATAAGAAAACCCGAGCAGAACCTYGGGGATGGGAGGCATCTGGCGAGAAAAGGAAGGAAGGATTTATGAGCGTGGCCACTTAGCAGGGCAGCAGGAAAATTTACACCCGAAGTAGCTATCTCTAATTCACAAAGCCTTGCTAATCACTTACCTCCCCACCCGGACCACACTCGCCTTGCCTAGGCACTCCACTCCACCACTACCTTCCCCCTCCCTTGCCCCCAGCTCCTCTTGCTTCTCACAGATCAGATGGAATGCAGACGGGAAAATCCAGTGTCTGAGCATCACTAGGGGAATTGGGGCTACCTCCTTGCTTCCCCCAGCTCTCCAAATTTGGAAAGAAGTATAACCAAGATGTGTATGAGTGGTGTGTGTGTGTGTGTGTGTGTGTGTGTGTGTGTGTGTGTGTGTGTTGTAGGGGAGATCCCTGAATTGCCTCTGAATGCTGAATAGGCTTCCTCCCACATCACCACCACCCGCTTTCAGAAAAAACTGCTCTGCTTCTCCAAAGCCAGCTATCACCACCCAACTGGGCGAAAAGATCTAAGTGGACTATGTTGGAGTGTAGGTTAGGGGCCCAGATGACCTGAGAGACTTTGGTAAAGGCAACTTTGGCTCTTTCTTCCCCTTAAGGCTGGGAGCTGTCGCCACCACTTCAAACTCCAGGAACAAGAAGGGAGTGAAGGGACCAGTCCCGGGGTCTCCTCTCCGCCCTTATCCACCCACAACTTCCAACCGCTGTCCTTCCAGCCTGGCTTTGCCCAAGGCTCCGAACACTTATTTTAAATCTCACACGCATTAAATTAAAATGTCGCGAGTTRTGAACTGGTTGGCTACCCCGGGGAGTTGCAGATTTGGATTGAACAACCAGCCTATTCCCCCAGAGCTCAGAGGTTTTAAGTTTCTCTGGCGCCTGGTGGGAAGGAGATACGAAAGGGTAAGAGTGCAGAGGCAGGCACACCAGTGGCCTGCCTCTGGCTGGGAACGCAAGTCCAGCCGGGCTGTGTTTCTCCACAGCGCCCCAAGCAGCAGCCAAGGGGCACCAGCGCTTTTGGGTCCTCAGCGGTAATGGACACATTTCCTTAGCTGAGATGCAGTGAAGGCTGTGCAACCCCAGCTACCGCACAGCGCGGGAAGCCTCTGCCCACCATTCGCATCAGGGTACATCTATGGCAAACCACACAGCCACCCGTACGAGAGTCTCTTCAAACCTCTGTGTGTACACGATGCAACAATGTGCGCGTGCGGAGCTGGAAGTGCAAAACACCCCSGGCTCTCACATGCACAGAGACGGATGCGTTGTCCAAACCCCGTGCGTCCCTGGTCCATCCTTGCCCAGGATTATTAAAAATCGCAATAACCAAAGCTTCTTGACTAGTTGGGAAAGTGGAATATAAAGTGGTCTCCAGTTGAGAGCAACGAGGTAGACTGAGGAAGCCAGAAGAACTAGGGAAGAGGAGATGTAGAAGGAGGGAAGGAAGAAGCGAAGGGAGGTGGCCGCTTAGCCTGGCGGACCCCCTTACCTTGAGCGGCTGAGCCGGTGCCGCTGGCGCTGAGCAGGGCCAGGGCAGGTAGCACGAGCATTTGCAGCACGTATCCTAGTCCCAGTCCGCAGCGGGCCGCTGTCGCCCGCAGACCTTTCCTCATCGTCGATAGAGGTGTGCCGGAGGGAACAACACCGAGAGTCGCGCAAACAGCGGAGAGCCCCACTGGGCAGCCGCTGAATCCGTGCACGGCGAAGCAGTCCCAAGAAATAACCACAGCCAAACGCCACACTCCACTTTCTTCAAGGGCAGGGGCCAAAGGGGTGGAGAGGAGACGCCGAGGAGGAGTTTGAAGGTTCCTGTTTCCCTGTGCCTTTCCAACTGACGTCTCCCGCGAGCGACTGCTCTGCCCCCACTTGGGAAGTCCAGGGAGGCGCAAGACCGCCACCTTCTCTGCTCCCCTCAGCAGCAGAAGCAGCCGCAGCTCCGCCGTGCGCCGAGCATGGACTGCTCTCTGGGTCCCTTAGCCTGGGAGGAACACACACAGGCACCAGAGGGTGGGGGAAGGTGGGGAAAGTGGGAGGAGAAGGGAGCGGACGGAAGAAGCTTGGGCACGGTGAGGCGCTCCTGTCTCCAATCTCAGTGGTCTCGTGCAAGAGAAGAGACGCCCCGATTGCCGGTGCTGGGTGGCCAAAGAGTCACCTCCCAGAGTGGGACGCACGGGTACTCGGAGGCGCTTGCCGCGCCGAGAAGGCGTGGAGGGCACAGCCCAACTCTGCTGGGGGTAAGCGGCAGCGGGAGCGCGCCTGTCCGCCTTATGTAAGCAAGGATGGAAGGAGAGATGCACGCCTAGTTGAGAAGGCGGAGACCATCGTTGGTTTACTCACTGGAGCCAGGGCAAGAGACACCTGGGGGCAGAAGCGGCCGCGGCTAGGGGGAGCGCTCCTGTCTCCTGCGGTGCGCCAGACTTGGACTCTGAGAGCGCAGCGGGCGCGCCCCGGGCCACTAGGCTGTGTCCAGTGGAGCTCAGCCTGCCGCCTGCCAGCTTCTCCAGCCACGCCGGCAAACCCCGAGCCAGACTTCCCGGGACTGGACGCGTCCTGGGACTTCGCGTCTTAAGGTTGATTAGGCCGGCTGCTGGCTCGAACTTGTCCTCAGCGATGGAGAAGAAGGCAAGAAGCTTTCTGCAGTGTTCTAGCCCACCCTTTGGGTTGTCAGCTGCACTCAGACTGTTTTATGCTCTGAAAGCTTATGACCTCTTTGCAGTGGAACAGAAACTAAAAAGCTCAACGAAAACTCCTTCAATAGTGCTTTCTTTGCGTGCATCTTGGTGGCTGACAAGGTGGAGTATGTAAAAGGTGGTGAGGCAATATCAGGAGGAGCTCTCCCAGAAAAAAAGGCAGAAGCAAATTTGTGAATACTCACTTAAAGCGATTTGGAACCTATGACATATTTTCCAAATTCCTAACAGCATGTGTAAGGACTAAAACTGCTATGATTCAGAAAGAATTAGTAGTTAGGTTGTGAATTCCTGTTGAAAGGGTGAAGGAGGAATGAAAGAATGGGTGGGTAAAATAAGGAAAGGTTAGACAAAAGGAAAGTGAATGGATTAATAAACCAATTACACTGGTGTAGCCAACACTCTGGGAAGAAGAAAACATCTTCTCAAGATTAGTTCATTTTTAAACTAATAAATGCTATACAGGGAAATGTTAAGTTCTGGATGCCAATGGGGGCCATGTGTAAACACACACACACGCTTGCACACACACACACACACACACACACACAGAGGAAACTTGAGCTCTAATTTTCACTATGGTCCTAACTGTTATCATGGGCAGGTCAGGTAATCTTTGCATGCCTTGGTTTCTTCATCCATATAATATGTCAGCTCTTTTCAGTTCTAACACTCTGGAATTCTGCATGTCTGACTCCATTTAAACCTCTGGTCCATAAGACCTATTTTGGATAAATTTCATAGACATAAAAAGTCATACTTGCCAAAGACATTGACAAAAATATCCACTTCTTATTTCTATAGAGACTCTGCCTGTCAGAGTAAAATCTCTTCTTCATTCTCTTCAGTGTCCCCACACCAAGATGTTATGATACTTTGTTAAGAAGGTAGACTCTACTGTCAGACGGTGGGTTCTTTTCTTAGTTTTTGCTACCTGAATGATATTGAGCAATAAAATTAGGCATCTTTTTTCCTAATCTGTAAAATGGGTCTAGTAGCAGTATTTACATTTTTGTGGGGATTAAATGAGTCAAATACACACACACACACACACACACACACATATATATAATTTATATGTGTATAGATACACAGACACACCTACATATATGTATATAATGTCTCACACATAAAATTATTGTCAACTACTATTATCATGAATGGAAGATTTCCATCATCTTCATGCTATCTAGACCAGTATTGTTCAACAGGACTTTCTGTAGGAAGAAACATGCGTGTATCTATGTTCTTCAAAATGACAGTCATTAAACATATATGGTTATTGAGCTCTTATAATGCGGCTACTGTGGAATGGGAATTTTAACTTTTGTCCAATTCATTCATTTAAATTTAAATAGCCACATGTAGATAGTGCCTACTATGCAGCTAGGCCATTAATAACCCTTTGAGAATGATATCATAATTATATTTCATTTATTCCTGTACCAATTTTTCCAAGGAGGTTATATTTTAAATAGTATGGAAGAAATCCCTGTGCATACTCACTACCATATTAAGAACATCCAAAAGTTGTACAATTTTTCATTTTTAAATTTATAACTTACTTGTAAAAGAGTTTATTTAACTCTTTAAAGTAGGCACTTTATCTTGTTCATCATTTTATCTTCAGCTCCTAAAGTAGAATCTGATGTATAATTGGTATTCAATGAATAGTACTTAATTGGTTGTCAAAAAGACTCAATGGGGAAGAATCCTCAAAGTCTAGTTAAAGAAGGTTGAATTATCACATAGTTTGGTCTGGGGCATTACAGGGCTCAATAGCAAATGCTGCATGAAATTAAAAAGAATGAGTAAGAGAAAAGAAAGGAAAACATAGTTCAGTACTGGAATTCAGCCTAAAGAGGGCAGGAGAATGGCTTGAGAGATGATATGTAGAGAAGAGGTAGAAAAGGGAGGGGAGACTGGAAAGCTCAGGAACAAGGAGAAGGCAGKCTCTAACCAGCAGATCAGCTGCACAGACAGGCAAGTTTTCTGCTCTTGTTGGTTACAGATGGAACTTGCCTGTGTATCAATATTCTGCCTAGTTTTCTTGTCTGTCACACTTTTTTTCATGAAAGAGATAAAGTATCATTTATAGGTTCCTGAGTATAGACTTGTTAACATCACTTGGATCTGGACTCAAATATCACTGCCTAGGGATGACTTCTCTGACCCATTTACCTAAAATAAAAACAACACATTGCTTCAATTGTATTCACCTACTTTGATTTCCCATATAGAACTTAGTTTATATCTCTCTATATGTATCTACCTGTATACATGTATGCATACCTACAGGTATATGAACAAATATTCTCCAGTAGAATACATGCTTCACAAGGGGAGGGTTTTTTTGTTGTTTTGTTTTGTTTTGTAGTGAGTTCAGCATGCTGTACCCATAAATCTAGAACATAGCCTAGCACATGATAGATGGTCAATAAACATTTATTGAATATTGAATTACATGAGTAAGAGTCAGTGGATTTTAAAACTGAGCTAAGTCCTTGATTACCATCAACCTCCAATATGTTTTCAAATTATGAGTAGTCTTTTTTTTTTTGATTGTTGAATAAAATCAAGTTTGGATGAATTTCCACCAAAATTTTATTTGAATATGAATGTTTAGGGTTGGAATAATGCAGATGTTTAAGAAACTGACGTAAAATTCATCTCATTTTGAAAACTAAAAAGCTTTATTTAAATCCATACAAGGACTTCCTTTTTCTTGGCTGCAGTGAGTGGAGAATTAACTCTGGGATAATAAATCCCAGTGACAGGTGCTAATGGGAATTAAGCATGCAAATCCCTTGCATATCCCTCCAGAAATCTACACCAAGAAAAGTATGCTATTTAGCATGGGCTGCTTAGTAATAATAGTATTTACTCTAAACTGGTATGGAAAAAGTTTCCAGCTTAAGGCTTAAATAAAAAGGAACTGAACATTAATTTTAATTACAGAAATATTTTCATTTATTTTTATCTCTGTCCTTATGTTTGACTCCTTCCTTACAGTTTATATTTTTATGTATTTTTTAAAAATAAGCTTTATAGCAGTAAGCAGAAATATTATTAACTGGCAACATAGAAGAAGGAGAATTTTAGTAAATAAATAGAAGTAGTAGTGAGGAAAACTCTTCCTAACTAGGAGTTGGGGGATCAGAGACCTCAGATAACATTGCTGATAGACATCAACTAAGGAGAACCAGATGGTCCTGTTCGGCTGATTCAATTCCTCTTCTCTGCCCCAGCCTAGGAAAAGAGACTTGATCTGTTATAAACCTATATACACTGGAGCTCTATGCTTTCTATTAGTTGTATTAAACAAGACTCATTTGGTTGCAAGTGAAAGAAATCCAACTTAAACCAATTTGAGCAAAAAGAGTCTTTAGACTGTATATAAGTCAAAAGCCATGGGTAAAAATTGTCTGCATTAATTATGACTAACATTTATTGATCAGTCACTAGTGAAAGGTACTGTTCTAAGCTCTTTTATATGGCTGTCTCATTTAGTCCTCACATTAAGGATCAAATTAAAGTAACATTATTGCTTTAGTCCATTCATACTGTTATAATAGAATATTACAGAATGGGTAATTTATAAAAATAAAACTTATTTTCTTATAGTTCAAAAGACAGGGAAGTTTAAGATTGAGGGGCTGTCAACCTATGACCACCTTCTTGCTGTGTCTTTCATTGGTGAAAGAGAAGGTGAGAGAAAGCAAGGGGGACTGAGCTGTTGACCTTTTAATAGGAACCTACTTTTGCAATAATGAATCCACTCCTATGATAATGGCATTACTTCACTTACAAGAAAGAGCAGTGACCAAAGGACCCATACCTCCCATTAGGCTACCATGTCCCAACACTACAGCATTAGAAACCAAATTTCTAACACCTGAACTTTGGGGAACACATTCAAACCCAGTGATTATTATCCCCTCTCCACATAGGAAGCTGAGTAGTTAAGTAACTTTGCCAAAGTTCACACACAGCATTTATTAGTACCAGTCTAATTTTAGGGATCATCTTCTAAGCCCAGGAATTTAAATGCAACTTATTGGACTTAGTCTCTCCCATCCCCATCCTGATTATGCTCTCCTCTGTTGAGACTTCATCCACAGACTTGTGCTCTCAATGCTGGGATTCCTAGAGGCTCTGGGTTTACATTGTCTTTACCATTATGGATATCAACACCAACAGCATATCTATTCTCAACTGGTCAACAAAGTCCCAGATGCCCCTGGTCTATCATGGGTCACATAT